CCCTCCCCTTAGCTCAAAGTCTGGATCCGCCGCTGTTATTTTAAAACCCGTTTGAATGTAATGGAAACGCCCAAGTGTCATCATCTTTCAAAGCTAGATTGATGAGGAAGAAAAGAGAATATTTACTTCAACCCCCAAAAAATTTTCTCAAAACGTTTCTTTCATTCAGCGGGTTCGTGTAATGCCTTCAGAGATTTTAGTGGTCATAGTCTAGAGTCATGTTATTGCATAATTGCCACTGACCTTTGCCAGACAGCAACTTACACTTGAGACAGAGCGTAAACTGTTCTCAGCTCCTGACAGGTTACAGCGTGAAGCCATCAGGCATCGACTGCTTTAAACGATCTTCGCAATATTTTTTCTGGTAGGTTGACTCAGTTGTTAGTTCCTACAAGAGCTGTTGTGCTGCATTAACAGGTGGGTTCAGCAGTAGTTATGAACTTGTAAATAATAAAGGTGGCAAGTTTTTGCTCGCAGACGAAGGCCGCTCACGCTCAAAGCGTCACCTTGGCAAACTGGCAACGGCGGGTAATGCATCTTCATCAGCTTCTAGTTGATAAATATCTAAGAAGGTTTGAAACTAGCGAAGTTCTGTCATTTTACTAGTAATGGCGCGGAGGCCAAAACTGCATCCGGAGGTCAAGGGTTCAACCACGCTTGCTTCATTATCAAGCTAGGTTTGTTCTGTTATTGGTCAAGACCTTGAATCTGTTATTGTTCCTCCCTACACTCAGGGATAGAAAAGGTTGTTGGCAAATATTGTTTGAGTAACCTGCGGTAGAGGGGCGGAATACTTCTGGCGCAATGTACTTCATGAGACCAGAAGTATAAGTGATAAAAACCGACGTTTCGGTGCATCTTGTGCCATTATCAAGGTTACATAATTAAAGATAAAAAGCGGTTTGTGAACAGGCTAAGTTGATGCGAATTTGCATAAAAGAGTGCCAAGCTAATTACATGAATACTTTAGCACGAAGAGAGTCAGACTGCACATTGGATGTGATGCTAGTCCATCGTAGGTGTACCTCCAGCATTAAATTCGCCGTCACTCAGTTTTCCTCCTAGATGGATGAAGGCACTTTGAAAATAACGTCCCTCGCACAAGAGGACGTGACCTCGGCCAGGGCTCAAATCCAAACCCCTCGATCCGAAGTGTGATGTTGTGACCAATAAGCTACCGCGCCTCCCACGCGGTATATGGGTCTGGGTCTTAACGAGGCAAATAATAATTTATTCAATAAAAGTGAAAAGAATGCAAAATACATTACTAAAAGCCTTCTACAAAACTAGACATTTACAAGAGATAAACCCCTTTGTTCTGTTACACGCTGCAAAAATAGTCTACTATTTATGCCGTTGTACGATTTTCTACCTTACAGTGAGCTGATTTAAATAACCTTCAATCTGTAAATTGGTATTTTTCTGTTTTCTAATTTGTAAACTATATTTGACTTAATCGTCATCTGCATCAGCTTCCTGTTAAGAGTGATTCAATTTCTTTGATTTCATCGAGAGTTTCTTGCTCTTTGGAGATCTTATCAAGCTGTAAAAAAGGAAATGAAACCGTTATCAGCCAATGCCATACTCCAATTTAAAATGGAAAAAAGCTGTACTTAGGGTACGTGAAGCAGATTCACAGACCAGTCTTTCGGAACAGAAGAGACCGAAGGGTTTTGTCTTAATGTTTCAGAAAAGACATGGTGTTTAATCACGTTTTCAAAAAACCGAGAAGAAAGCTGAAGATACATGTTCCACGCACAGGGGTAACGCAAACTTTTTGACGAACTATAAGGTTTGAAAGACTGCGTCAACCTTCTGATATACTTTCTCAACGAAACTAAAGCTAAGGAGAAACACGAGACTTAAAGTCTAAACTTGTTAGAGAAGACTAAAAAAATTGCGTTTCTCCTTAACATAGTAACAAACCTGAGTTTTCTCTAAGACTTGTCCAAGTTCTCTTTTTTCTTTTAAAGCTTCAATTTGTTGGAGTTTTTTCTTTAAAGCTCGTATTCTCTTTTCCGCAGAAGTTAGACCGCTGGCCTGAGAGACTGAAGGCGGTGTTTCTGTGGTTGTCGTTTTTTCTTTGACGCTTTGTGCGTCTATGCAAGATGAGATATCGGCTCCCAAATCTTCAACTTCCGCCATGCTGAGAGATTAAACCAAAATGAGCATAATTCATGTTATTTTTGAAAACGTCGGTGAGCATAATAAGTTTGGTAATATGATGTCATAAGCTAATGTTCTCATCTTGTAAGGAAAATTACAGTTGATAAAACCCTTCATTAAGGTTCGTGTTTTCTAAGCGTTATAAAAGTTTAAGAGATGTCGCACGTTCTCCCACGTTCTCGTCTGAGGAGATCAGCCTGGTTTAACAACAAAGATGAGACAATTACAATCATTCCAAAGTCGCATTGCAAAGAAGATTTTAAAGGGAAAAGTGACATCAGCTGAGGCCCTAACATCGTTGCGGTGGGTCCCATTACATGCAAGGGGTTTTGGTCATTGGTGTTGTCCTGTGTAAGACGCAATGAAAGGAGAGATCCCCGAACATTTCGATGCGTTTAGATCTACCATGAACCAACAACATGGTTACAATACCTGAAATGGTTACATGCCCAAAATTAGCAAGCCAAGAACGGAATGGGGCAGAAACAAAACGTATTATAAAGCAATAACCGATTGGGCCTCACTGGCAAGTGAGCTAAAGAAACTCATGCCAAAAAGGATTTTTAAACACAAACTGAAACAGTATTAACTCAACCATTTTTACCCTTAGTTAGCAGTAGTATTTTTAATCCTACTTCTAGTTTTATACCCTAGTTTTAGTCCCACGTTTTTAGCTTTTATTACTTCTATATTTAGACATTTGATGTATATTTTAGACTTTTATTTTTTAGAGGGCCCTCCTGAAAACCACCGCTAGGTGATTGGAGGCCTCCTCTTAAAATACTAATTTATTTATTATTTTACGTTCTAAAATCAATGAAAGAAAAACTAAGCTTTCTCTTCAGCCTATCAGTATCAGGAACTGGGTGCATACATGATTATTCATGAAGACGCCCGGGCTTATTATTCTCGTATCTCCAGAAAAAAAGATGTCTCTTGACTAGCTCTTGCTATTCGTAAGCATCGATTAAGTAGGTCTACATATGCATTTGCTGGTGTGTTTGTAAGGCTTTTACTCGAAAACTGTGTTAGCTTGTATTTTAACCGCGTAATGAAAGACTAATGAAGAATCATAGTGACCGGCTGTCATGGCGTGAACAAATTCGCCGGCAAATTATTTTCTTGCACAGGCCACCTGTGTGAGTAACCTATTAAAACGATAATTTCGACCGCGAAATGGATAAAAACCTAGGCTCAATACTGGAAGAAGTTTGACTAGTGTTTGTAAGCTTTTGTAGACCAGCAGGCAGGTAGTTAGTTGTAGAACCGAGTTCAACTCCTCAGCCGTGCTTTCCAAATAGCTACCTAGTCTTTCTGTTCTATTTTCTATATATTCTCATTTACCTCATCGCAAAATAACACAAAAGAATCATCGACACCATGTGTAGGGATGCTTTCAGTTAATCTTCTTATGGGAAAAAAACTCACCCAAACGTTTCCGTTAATTTCCTAATCAATTAAAAACCCGTCCCTAAACACTGAAATAAACCACGTAGTTTAACGCACGTGCAGAGAAATCAACCAATCAATCACAAGTTGATCGCAGCACTGTTGCTAACACTGAGCCATTGTACAGATTAAAAAATCTTTTGTTTTTCGATGTTCCCGTTGCCGTCGCGTTGTGGTTTGTTTAAACAGCCGTCTAACAATTTAATTGCGTGTATGAGCATTTTAACCAAAGTTCTCTTGCAAGCGAAATATAAGACAACTGCGGGTTTATCCTTTGAATTACTTGAAATATAGATACCACGCGATCAAAAAAAAAGATCAGCCATGATTAAAGTCAACAAGGGCTTCACTCGCATTGCTGGTAAATATCATCCATGACTGACCCTCAGTCATAGAAAGCTACAGCAAGAAAACTCGTTCATTGCTTTAGTACAAGCACCACTGCACGAGGAACGTTGAAAAACCAATTTATACAAAGCTATGTCGCCTGTAAACCCTTTTGCCTTGCCGCTGTTCTAGCTGTTTTTAATTTGAGGACGGATTAATTTCTGAGCTCTTCGTGGTCGCATTGATTTAACTTTGCGATTAATTTGGGTTTTGTTTTACGACGGTCATAAAAACAAACCGCATGACTAGAGCCAAACGCACGTAATCATATGTCTGACAACGCCCGAATTTTATAAAGTCAGTGCCTCTGGATTTCAACCATTCTTTTATAAAACTTTAAATGTAAAACGCGTAAACGACGGACACCTCCACCGTTCACTAAAATTCACACGAAAAAACACCTCTCGATACCGAATTATTCTTGTCAATAAATCAAATTACACAATGAAACAGCACAAAAGAATCAGTCATCACTTCAAATTCATACATCTTAAATCGTAACTTGTCTTCAAGAGCTTGCTATTGAGGTTAAACAGAGCACTGGATATGTCCCAACCCATTGCTACCTTACCTCGAATAACCGGACGTTTCCTCGGCGTAAGCAGATACCTTAATGTAACCCCGACGACTTCCGCTTACGGGCGACTAGGCAAGGCGTGGTGCAATTACAAATATCCATGTTGTTCCCTACACTAGCTTATTTCCCTGTGAGTCTGTAACGAGGGTGTCGAGCGGTACGTGTTTCAGTGCTAAGGACAGGACAGGTATGTATTCCTTAGCTGATGACTCCTGTTTTCTCGTCACTTGTCAACTTGACAAGGTTAATGGAACTGTAAGGAAAATTTAAAGGTTGACAGGGGTTGACAGTAACAGGAAAGCGCCCAGAAATGAGAAGGTAACAGGCTGGAGACACGAAGAGTTTTCGTTCTAGAAGTTTATCCATGAGAACCAGTAGTTCCGGTTATGGAATTATGCACAACCGCACAGGCTGTAAACCAGTTATACCGGTTGTGGAATAAGGTGCAAAACTTATGCTTGCATCGACCAGATCATAACTGATTAACACAATACACTCCAAATCATCTATATCAAGATGTTTTTGTATACTGCAATGCTTTCTGTGTTTGATCCACGAGACGAATATAGAAAGTTTGATGTTAAAAATTATTTTCTCGAACGTAACTCTCGCTCTACCCAGCGAAAGGGAACGGGGATGGGTTAAAAAGATTTCGCAACATGTTTGTTTTCACAACTGCCAAGATAAAGGAGGTCTGTCTCCATCACAAAAACACGGTTTTTTTTTGTTTTTTTTTCAAAAAAAATTTTTAATGAACTTTAATTCTGAGACTTTTCTAACGTCAATAAGAGATAGCATGCAAGAAAAATAATGACAAACTGAGGTAGCATTTACTCTGAGAATATTAATTTGATTACGAAATCTCCTTGAAATGTGCATTTCTGTTTGTGGGATAGAAAATTCCTTATATTTCTGCATAACAATGTCCGCAACATGATATGGATTAAACAATGCTATATGCACCCACCAAAAACAGACCACGTAGGCCAAAAAACTAATCCTTCGGGGGGCAGAATCTCTCAAACAAAATTATAATTTGCCGCCTCAGGCTTCTTTAATACACAGATAACTGAAAATGAAAATGTGACGCGACCGCCAACCCTGACTGAGTTGTTAGTTTGATGTGAATTGGTTTGTTGTCTGTGGTAGGTTGGTCACGTACTTCGGCTTGAATGGACTAACAAAAACAAGGTTTTTTTGAAGTGAACTACAGAGTCTGTCAGGGCAGAAAGCGAGACATTAGGAGAAGTTTGGCAAAAGTTATTCGTCAAAATCGAACTCGCTATCCGTAACGGTTTTTTTTTTTTTTTTTTTTTGCTGCTGGGATGAAGGAACTCCTTGCAGTTGGCAATCACGTGACTAATCATTGTAGTCTTTCCGTTATGTTTCCATTTTGCGCAAGATCAAAATGCCACACTGCAAATTTTGACCCATTTTTAGACAGATAGTTCATACTAAAAGAAATCTACAACTTGGCTTGAGTAGGAAATTTTACCTCACATATGCTTTGCGCGATTTGATAACTGATAAACGCATTCTGATCTGAAGTGTTTTTATGCATACAGATTAAGCTCTGACCTCATAAAATGTTTTCATCGTCTGTCTTAAGTTAAAAACGAGTTGTGTGCCAGGGAATCAAAGACAGATGAGCAGAGAAAACAGAAACCATACCAGCAATTCAGTAGTTCGCTCGCTGTGAATAAACGTGTTGTTAATATAAACAGGCGACTTTTGAACTTTGACCGTTTGAAGTGTTAGCATTTTCTCACTGCTGAAAGATTAAATGGTGATAACATCTGTGGGAAAGGAAAGGTTGATTGTAGAAAATCCCGCAGTGATAAAACTTGAGAGCAAAGCAAAACAGAGACGAAAATAAAGAACAAAGAACGCTATTACAGAGGTCGTTTCATAAACTTTAGACCAGGAAGTCTTATGACTTCAACCATGAATGTTTGCATGTTTTATAGAGCAGTATGCAATCAAAACATGGAAAATCGATACTACATCGACAACAGACACAAATAAATTTTCATGGCATACATAATTCCTTCCCTTCCATTAATGCACAATAAAAAGGTAATGAATGGCATTTTTCTCATCGCGACACGCAAGTCGGCGACATGAGCACAGTACAAGCAGGTCTTGTGCCTTGCGACAGCCATTCTTTTTCTTTCTTTGTTTCTTGCTCAGTCTTAGACGTGATAAGATAAACTACACTCTCGTGACCATGATATCGTCAAACTTCCAGCTGTGAAGGAGAAAGGGTCCTAAACGTACCCTTCGAAAGCCGGAATATGAATTCACGTGAAGTTAATAAAACCAAAAATAATGTTTAACGAATGATTATTAAATTCCTCTTCAGGAAAAAGCCTAAAGATCGATAGGAGAGAGCTGTTCTCGTGGCGTGTAGTAGGTTGAGTGAAACAATTGTTCCGAACAATCAAATTCTGATTTCAAACAAGGGTAGGTAGTTTACTCAATAAAACATAACTATCTTGGCTTCCCTTTGCTACACACAGAAAAACAACATATTAAAAAAATAATAATTTTCTATAGGGGTTCTCCGTGTTTGCACAAATTACGAGACAGTCATATGAATGACCCAATATATTACCAACTGATCTCGGGTGCGTCAGAGTTCTCGAATGAAAACAACGTTGAGCAGATTTTTAGGGATTTTAAAGAATATAGGATTTAGACTATCCAAAACTCGTTACAGAGATTTCTTTGTGCGTTCCGTTTTACTTGGTGTTTGAGGTTGTTTCGGAGCATTTCCAGAGCGTTTCGCTTGCAATGTAACTCCTATCTGCTTATCGGATATATAGAGGACTGCAGTGAAAGCCAGTGAAACTGAAACTCGCTAGAACCAGAAGCAAGGCATTCAGGATGGAGTTGTTGTTTTTGGATTTTATTGCCAATTCCAAATCCAGCATTATCTGCCACAAATCTTTATATAAACTTTAATCCTAATTTTTACTTACGCGGCACCTTTTAGGTCACCTCTGATTGGATGTTTGCTCACCCAGACAAGTGAACTCCCAAATCACGTGCAATTGTATGTGCGCCTACGCACGTCTGTCCATAAATACTCCGAACTTTATTTAAAGAACATTTTTTTCTGTGATCTCACCTCACGCCAGCAGCATTATCTTGAGCAATCCACAACTGTTGACGAATCTTCGCTGCAAGTTTGTGATCCTGCGTGAGTAAACGCGATCCAGTTTATCATTTGCTATTTAACATGAGTTTAATTTACCATAGAAAGACAAAAGGGAGCTGTAAATACTTTGGGGGTATCATCATTCAAATGAAAGCTGTTGATAAATACATTCTAGTGGAAATTATTTTAATCTTTAACAACGCTTTTGCCACGCTTAGCAGTTAGACCAAAGCGTATGACCATTTAAATGAAAGCTATTGAGCAGTACCTGAATGTGGTACTGTTTATTATGTTACACAAGGTGGTTTTAACTTAGGTCTGACGATGAAAGCCTAGTCAGTAAAGTGTGATCATTTAAATGAAAACTATTGAACAGTACTTTCACGTGATACTGTTTATTGTGCTGTACAAGGTGGTTTTAACTTTTAAGTCTGTGGATGAAACCCTAGTGTGCTAACATTCAAATGAAAGCTATTGACCTGTACTGTCATATGGTATGGCTCATTTAACACTGTAGACACTGTTTCTATAAACTTGTACGTGATCAAATGAAAAACGCTGACGAGCGCACATTCTTGCCGTTTTATAAAACAAGTTGGTGGAGACAAGCGACCACTCTAAAATAACCACTCTAAAACAATTCTTAATACGCAAAAAGAAACTTTCGATTGCAAATACAATACAATAGGAATTTTATTTAGCACTCCCCAAGGGGGCTTTTCAGTACTAATACTACTAAATAAGTTAAATCACATGATATGTAATTTTGCTCTTGAAAAAGTCAAGATTTTCATTGATAGTTTAGCGCTAATTACACCTTCCTCTTCAAACTGAAGAAATTAAAACCAATCTGAGATAAAGCTAACTTCAAAAGATCCACATTTTACAGTCTGATGATCACAGTCATTCAAGGAATTTACAAGTCCTGGTTTACGCTGGAAGACAGACTATACGCTATTTTCAACAGTCTTTCAAGCTAACACTCTTATAATGATACCCTATTTCAATAAGTTCACATCCCCATCTAATAAAAGTGGCCCCTCTTGTAATAAACCCCCCTCCCCCACTAATTAGTGTCCCTCCTCTAATACGCTCAAATCCCTCTCTACTGAAGTTCCCTAAAGATCCCCTCTTTTTAATTGATCAGCTGTCAGGATGATTTTATCTGCCTGCTTGACAATCTGGAGGAAAGCTTTTCTTATAAAGAAGTTCCATTCAAAAAGTCTTGCCTGCTTGTGATAGCCCGTTGAGCTCCTGCTGATCGCATTAATGGAACCCCTGTAAGGGGTAGCCTGTTTCACATGGTTTTCACAACATCATTTTTCACAGGTATTTTCACAGATCTATGAAATATCCTGTGAAATAATGTCTGAAATCATATAGAAAACATGTGAAACCTGTACAACATTTCACATTGTTTCCACATGCTGTCCTCACAGGGTTTCTTCTAATACAACTGGGTGGTAAATGGTGAAATACGAGACTCAATGAGGCACAGAGACCCTGAGAACAAAATCCAGGAAATCCTGAGATTAACAGCTTAAGAAAAACTGCAGCTAAGATTCAGTGCAGAGTTGGAACTAATTATGCAAAAATCCTTGCTCAAGACATGAGAATCAAATGCTCTTGGTAGCGAGAAATTAGAACTCATTTCAGTTATTCACTTAATGTTATGTTTGAACCAAAAGTTTACTTAAAAGACCTTTAATTTTCTTATGCAACACTTGCCACCCTTCCAAAACTTAATTTTCCATCATTCCTGTGTTATTATCATCATGTCCCTGATGATGTTCTTCCTCTGCAGTTGTTGTTGTTGTTTTTTTTTTTCATTTCTTTCAATTAGAATTCAATCATTCAGATGCAACACATACCTTATTGTCTTTGGCTTCTTGTAACTGTTCTCTCAATACAGCGACTGGATCCTTCATTTCGATTGCTTCCAAGGTGCCACCATTTTCTTTAATTTGTTCTATTCTAGCCTTCGTTCTCTTCTCTGCCCTTTTCTTGTTCTTCAAGGCTGACTTTGATAAATGAGCGGAATCTAATAAACAACACAACAGTTCAAAAAGTGAAACATCTCTCAACTTACTATTTTAAATCCTAACGAGATATGTCAGTAAATTGGGGATATCAGTTAAAACCACATAATTTTTTAGCTTTCCACATTTAGTCATCACACATACGCTGTACACAAAAGTTCCAGATTTCATAATGTAATGAGAGTTACAACATTCTAAAAGGTGATTCGATACAAGTGTCATTTCTTGGAGTGATATGTGATCTTGAATAAATTGTCTGCATTTGCTCGACATGATTCTAGAACTGTGAATAATTAAAAATTATGATTATTCATTGAACTGTTTTGTATCACATCTGCAAAATCCCACAATGTTCTTTCATAAGTGGGGCAGCAACAGGCAACAAGGTTATCAAAAGCTATGATCACAATCCAAAAAAAAAATGGCAGAAGACCTGCATTGCCCTCTGATTTTTTAAAAGAATTAATTTCAATGTTGCAGCTTGAAATGTCAAAAATCCCTGGTGCCCAGGATTGGGCTGATGGCAGAAGATGATTGACATTTCAAGCTAACAATATTGCAACTATCTAGAAATCAAGATATTCAACAATCACAAACATTTTGTGATTACTTTATAAATAGTATATGTACATCATTCCTGAGCAGTTTTTTTTTTTTATAATAAGCAGCAACTAACAATAAAAGGGCAGCACAGCTTCACCATGTAAACAATGATCACTAACAGTTAAACTTACAAATAAAAGTTGTTGTTTACAAAAGATCAAGCTTGTGTAAAATAGCATCTTTAACAATTCAGCTTGTTGGAAACAACAACTTCATCATCTGGAGAGATTAATAACCATGCATTTCACAACAAAAGGTCTCAAATTCCTGATCGGGTAGATCAGAGTCACAAATTGCCAAACATTCAAAACTTGCTAGTCTGTAAAGAGGGTCGGCATTATTTGATGTCAATCATTTCTTTGACTTGTGACTTCATGTCATAATTAGTTTTTGTACACAGATCATATTTTAGTATCACGTTTAACTTTAGTTACTAACACATTACCTGCAGAGTTCAAAGGGTAAAATAATGAGCAACGTCAGAAAGCACGACAAGCATTAACACTACCAGCAGTACGTGCCCAGTAACATATACAGTGGTCAGTTACTAGATAAACAGATTGATAATTTGCTAAACAATCAGTCAGTTGTGCAACGCAATAAGGAGGTATGCACAAAAACATTACTGTAGTTTGTAAGTTAAAAAATATGTTTGAAAAAAATGCATACTAAACGAAAACCTTGAAAAGCTTGGCCAAATTGCACCATCTGTACATGTTAAAAATAAATACACAAAACAGTACTAATTATTATAAACTAGCTCCATGAGTAGACAACATGAACCAATACCTGCACTGTTACTGGCTA